AGGCCGGGCACCATCGCTGCAGGCCACGCGAGGGGTGGTTTTGGCGAGGGAAGGCACGCCGAGGCCTGGCGCACGCGGGATGAAGCCCAGGCTGCGGTTCTGCTGCCAGGGCTGCCTGGGGAACAGGAGAAACCTGCCCTGGCTGATGCTTGGAAGCAAAGGCATCGCCGGCTGCCAGCACTGGCCTCCTTCCCGAGGCCTCGCCAGCGCCAGCCCTGCCACTGGGGGCTTGGCCAGGCCACAGCGTGTCCGTGCAAGCCCTGAGCTGGCCGTGCCCCCCGGTTCCCCGGGCGGGACGTGCCAAACGTGCCTTTTCTCCCGCTTTGTCACCTCGAGTTACCCATTAACCCGGCAGCGGGGTACGGCGCGGCCCAGCAGCCCCGGAACAGCAATGCCTGCCAGGGTTTCCGGCTGGGCCGCCTGCAGCGAGGGAGGGTTTTATCCCGGGAGCTGTGGCACAAGCAGGGATTTGAGAGGGATGCGATTCCCTGGAAGGCATCGCATCCCCGTCAGGAATAAATCCCCCCCAGCAGCCACAGGAGGAGCTGGTATGTGGGAGAACTGGTGTCACCTGGTCGGGGCGGACAGGACTTTACTCCGTGACACCGAGGCAGGGCCCAGGTGCTGTTTGCTGACACCAGGCACTCCTTGCCGCCCGGGCTCCCACTCCCTTTTCCCACTTTTCCTCATCCCACTGGTACAGGAGCTGCGCTACCCAGGCCCGAGGCAGCCCCTCGCCCCCGAGAGCAGGCAGGGCAGGGGATATTTCCAGCCATGCTGCACTTGAGCAGGCACCAGTTTTACTACGGGCAGAGCGCCGGTGTGAGCTGACGGTGTGGACCACCACACCTCCCTCTGCCAGGGTCTCCACTAATATTTTTAGCTCTGCATGCTCCATCTTTCAGCCAGACATCCTGAAACGGGGTGGTGGGATGCCTTGACATTCAGCCAGGGGTGGTCATGTTGTGGTTTTGCCTCTTCCCTATGGGTGCTTTGAAGGAAAATTTGGCTTTAAGAGACAGAGATGGCCTCTCCGTCCCCCGATAAATGAGCCCATGCTCTCCACCTCAACACTTGCACCACAGCCCTGTCGGCGGCAGGAAGGATGCTTAAGAAAGCCGGGCTGATGCAACGCCCCGGCACCTCTCCTTCCCTTTCTCAAATTTCCACATACCTCCACCTCCCCTACCCACGGATGCCGAAGCACCGCGTCACAGCCGGAGGCTTCCCCATCCTCCCAGGGCAGGGAGGCAGAAGAGGAGGGGGCTTGGACCCCACCTTGCCGGCAGCACCAGGGCTGGGGAGGACGGGTGCCACCAGCAAGACGCCGTGGCTCCATGTGCTACGGCAGCTCCCTGAGTCACCTCCTCCTCCTCAGATGGGGAGCAGCAGGAAGGCTCTCCTCTCGCTCACCCCAGGGCTGGCACCAAAAGCACCAGCAGCCGTGGAGCAACTGGGGTGCAAGCCATACCTGCGTGCCCCAGCTTGCTCCCTGGAGCGGTGGCACGCTCCTGCCTGCCCTGAGCATGCAGGGACTGAGCCCCATCAGCACCCAGACCAGTGCTGAGGCTTCTGCCCATCCTCCCTCAAATAAAATGTGGGTTTGGAGGAGACCGGAGGGGTCTTTGTGAGTGCCAGGCTCTGCCTGTCACCCGTGGGTGATGCTGATGCACCTGAGTCATCCCCAGGCAAACGGGTCCTGCCAGGAAAGATGTGCAAGAGGCCTGGGAAGGGAAAGTTAAATGCCCACAAAGCAGTGCCTTCCTGTGCCGCTACCCTGGGGAGCAGCGGCCCCGCTGAGGTGTTGGCTCTCCTGCCAGGAGGCAACGGGACTGGACACCCGGGGCATGGCGCGATGCGGTGACCGAGTGACCCAGCATTTGTCCCTGAGCAGCCATGGCCCTCCATGGGTCAGGCTGGGCCATGGGGACCTCAGCACCAGTCCTGTGCTGGCTGGAGAGCACCGGCCATGGCATCCCCGTGCTGTGCCGCATCAGGGCTTAAAGGAAAACCAAAATCCAGCTGCGATGAGAGCAGGAACAGGTAGGAGGGACGGGTTGGTGTGGGGTCTGGTGTGCCTGGGATGGTGTTGCAGGAGCAGCTGGGAACCTCCCCCCGGCCCAAGCAGCGTGACGCTGCCTGCAGGCAAACGGGACCCAGTTTTTCCACCCGTTCCCGTTTGCCCAGCGAGTCAAACCCCACAGCAGCCTCCAGCACCACCACATTGCTCCCAAACACCTCAAATTGCTGGTGTCCACGCAGGACGAGCTGCACTGGCAATGCAGGCTGAGGCATGGAGCAGGAGGACACTTCAGGAGGCGCAGGGAGCCCCGGCGAGGTCCCCAGCCACGGTGGCACCTTCCTGGTGTCACCTTCCTGGTGTCACCGTCCCACCGGCATCGCAGTCCCTGGGCAGTGGCTGGCAGAGCCTCACGAGGCTGCGTCTCAGCCCATTAAACCCTGGGTGCAGCAGGGCCATTAAAAGGAGGTTGAAGGTAACTTGTCCTAATGATAACAGTAATGAAACTTTAAAGAGAAAAAAGCCACTTCTTGTTACAACATCTCCGAACAACGCGCGAGTGCCTATGTCCAAAGGAGCTCGGGCTGGGATGAAGATCCAGGGTGAGCCCAAGGCACGGCGATGCGGGCGAGACGAAGGGGATGACACCAACCCCGAGTGGGATGGGGGATTACAGTGACTCACGGCTCGGTCACGCACCCTGAAGAGGCTGTGATGAAAGTCTCTCATTGCTTAAATTGGTGAGGTAATTAGATGATCCAGTTTCCCTCTAGCAAGGCTGTTAAAATTCACTGTCTAGTTTGGGTAATTATTGCACCTTGCTTTGATCTCCCCCATGTATTCTGTTTGCATAGATAAAAAGTTAGGGGATTCATTTGTCCTTGGCCAAACTGGGTGATGCAGAGGAGGGACCTGTGGCTGAGGGATGGGGCTGAGGTCCTGAGAGCCGCAGGAAGGGGTGTGGAGAGGCATGTCGGAGGGATGAAGGCTGGCTCTCATCTTCCTCTCCACCTCTCCTGCATTAAGGCACTTTTCCCCCCTTTCCAAACCCCTCGAAGTCCCCTGGTGTAAGCAGGGGCGATGCTGGATGCCTGTGGGATCGCAGACACGAGGATGGTGCAGCCCTGGGACCTCTGGCAGGCACCGGCAAAGCCATGGGGGCTCAGAACTGCACTGGGGTCACACAACACCCCCCTCACAGCGCTGCTGGGGATATGCCTGCCCAAAAGCAGCCAAAGCAAGAACCCAAGCACCACTGAGGGCATCAACCCCCCCATCTCCCTCCAAAGGGGATTTTGGGGGGCAGGAAGCCCGGCAGAGCCGCTCACACCTCAGATGCACCATCCTTGCCGTGCAGCAGGCAGCCGTTTTCCCTGCCCCCCGCCACATTACAGCCCGGGATGGTTTATCTGGTGCCAGGTAGCGTCTGATCTCCCTCTGCCCCGGCGTTATCACCCCGTGTGTTTGCACTGGGACGGTGGCAATTCCCTCCAGCGCAGGCTGCAGCACGAGAACTCGTTTGTCCGGTACCGTCCATGCACCATCCTTGCCGTGCAGCAGGCAGCCGTTTTCCCTGCCCCCCGCCACATTACAGCCCGGGATGGTTTATCTGGTGCCAGGTAGCGTCTGATCTCCCTCTGCCCCGGCGTTATCACCCCGTGTGTTTGCACTGGGACGGTGGCAATTCCCTCCAGCGCAGGCTGCAGCACGAGAACTCGTTTGTCCGGTACCGTCCTTCGCCCCAGCCCGTCGGGCTCGGCACGCCTGCGAGAAGGCGGCGGTGACAACAACCAGCATCCCAGCACAGGAGGTGCCACCGCCGGGGTCTGGGGAAAGAGCAGGCGTCGCACCAAGGCCGAACAAAGCTTCGTCTGTGGCGAGGCCGTGGCGCGGGGAGGAGAACCAGCGAGCGCAAACAACCAGCTCGGAGCGACCGACCGGTCACTGACCCTGCTGGGACGTCCTGAGGGGAAAGTGGCCGCTGGGTGGGCAAAGGGGGCTGGGCTGGGCCCGCTGCTCGGGCATCCTGCACCGGCGAGGGGTGATAACGGGGGTGGCAGCGCTCAGCGCCGTGCTGCCTCCTGGAAGCTCACCCAGCAGTGGCACTTCCCCAGGGCATTTTCCCTATTTTCTGGGCAGCGGCTGAGTTCAGTGGGGACAGCGCTGGGTCACAGCCGCTCTCGCCCCGTGCCTGGACATCTGGGGAGGCGGCCGGGCGCCTCTCTTCCAGCAGCACCCGCTCATCGCTGGCGAGCCCCGGCACCCAGCACCCCAGTCCCTGGCTGAGTAACAGGAAGGGTGCCCTGCCCATCGCCCACCCCGTACCACATGGCCCTGCCAAAACCGGCACCAAGCTGGCACGTCCCGGTCTCCCACACTCCTCCAGGGACCCCAACACCACCACCACGCACCGGCACTCCAGGGTCACCCAGAGACCCTGCCTTCCGGCACAGCCAGGGCAGGATGTGACCACGGGGTAGGACCCCGCAGGCACTGGGCTCTGTGCTGCTGGGACACAGTGCACCTCAGGCCCTGAGGAACCTGGACCCTACGCACCTCAGGATCCTCCACACTTCAGGCCCCACAGACCCCAGCCCCATAGATGTCGACAGCCCCATAGATCTCCCCATACACCTTTACAGCCCGTGCACCTCAGGCACCATCCATGCAGGACCACGGGAGCCTCAGACACCCCCCACCCCATATATCCCTCATGCCCCATACACCCCAGACCCTCCACAGCCTCTGTGTGTCCTGAACAGCTTGGACTCTGAGCAGCTTGGACTCTGAGCAGCTTGGACCCAGGGTGCCCTATAGACCCTATATGGCTCAGACACTGCACAGCCCAAACCTGGGGTGCCCTTTAACCCTTGTACAGCTTGGATCCTGTGCACCCCAGGCTTGGGGTGCTCTATACACCCAACACTGCCCAGATCCCACACAGCCTGGACCTGGAGCTCTCTACAGACTGTCCATCATGGACCTAGAGCACCCTATAGACTCTATATGGCTCTATCCCTACACAGCCTGGACCTGGGGTGTTCTACAGATCCTGCACTCCTCAGATCCCACACAACCCAGATCTGGGGCACCCTACAGACTCTGTCCATCCCAGCCCTGGGACACCCTACGGATTTTGTCCGTCTTCAACTTGGGGCACCCTATAGACTGTCCATCCCAGCCTCCGGACACCGTATAGACTCTGTCTATCCCAGACCTGGAGCACCCTAATGACTCTGTGTCTCAGATCCTACAGAGACAGATCCCGCGTTGCTCAGATCCTGCGCAACCCGGACCCAGGGCACCTTACAGGCTCTGTCCCTCCCGGTCCCGGGACACCCTGTAGACTCTGCCCCTCCTGGTCCCAGGGCCGCCGTCGGTACCTGCTCCTCGCCGGGCTCCATCTCCCCCACGTAGTACTGCTCCAGCCAGCGGCGGGCATTCTCGGAGTGCCGGTGTGGCGGCCCGTCCAG